CGCCCATTCCAATCTGCAACGGACGATCTGTGGCATTGATGGATGATGTCATGATTGAATTTCTCATGAAAAAATTAGGACAGCATGGATTGGTCGAAGATAACCATATAAGACACATCTTCTGTGATGTATCTGATCGTAAGTAAAACATTGGATGAGTGTAGGTGTTCCTTGTAATAATTATGTAATCCATAAAATCAATAAAAATAAAAATAAATATATATATATATATATCATAACAGGGTGGCGTGACGGGGGGAGTAGAGGCTTATATCAAGTATCAAGTATCAAGTTTATTTGTCTTCCAGAAAACACATGTCACAAAATATAATAGAGTATAATCATAACAGAACAATGTAGAATAAAGGAAGACGAGGAGACCTTGATTGAAGCACAGCTTGTTAAGTTAAGGTGACAAAGATAACTTATTCATGAATACAACAACAAATATGGAATATATAAAACTATTTACAAAATACTCTCAGAGAACAACTACCCAACGATGCATCGACCACAGCATGGATGACTACAACAAGTATACCCGAAGATGCGCACATCCCCATCACACCGAGTGAGCTAACAAGCTCACCATGTGTGTGAAAATATGCATATTGCTCCGATTGTCTCATTTTCGCTCGCGTGAACATTGCCAGCAGAAACCACTGACCTCTACCTCCTGAACGGATCATCGGCCATTCCCATTCACTACGTTACGTACTAAAAGGCTGTATTGTCTGACCGTTCATGAATATTCATGTTTTTGCTAAACTCGGCAAAATGTTTGCTTTTACTAAATGGAACAATTACGGTGGGGGGGTTGGATGAAATGAAAATAATGAAATAGGCAGAAGTGATCTATGATAATTCATGCTTTTTATGTTTCGTGTGCTCGACCTATAATCTTCAAATCGCTTGGTAAACTGAGTCCAAAGTTAGACTTGTTTCACATGTGTATTATAGGCAATATGACGAGCTTGCAACCTATTTTGAAAAATTACGGTGGGTGAACTTTCAAAAGTCAATGAGACATGAGGGCTCCAATGAAAGAGCTAGTGATAACGTACGTCGGGGTGGATGTGCTTTTCGTTTAAACAAGAAATGAATTTTTAACGATTTAAAAAAAAAACGTCCATAGGCTAACAAGTTAGGCTGCTGAATCTGACCATGCTCTGACGATAGAGGGCGTTGTGAAATGAGACTAAACGGAGCCATTATGTATTATGTGCAAAAAAACCAACCCACCCATTAGAGGGCGATCTAATATGGACAAACCCAAGCTGACACCAAGCCGAGACATCAATGAGTTATTGCTCTCTGAGTGCAGAGGTCAAGTAGGAATATATGGTATATGTACAGATGGGAAAGAAGAAGAAAAAAGAAAAGGGATAAAGGGGGTTATGTCAAAGTCAAGAATTAACGAAAAAAAAGATCAAGAGTACAGTTAAATATGCTATAGTACACAAACAATAAAGCTTGATAACACATTCATGTGTCATCGACATACTTGTGAAGAAAATATGACTTAAGTCTACGTTTAAAAACTGAGATACTTGAAGCATTTGTTATAGTTTTATCAAGAGGAGCCCTTTGACCCAAATTGTAATTTAGATTTTCCAAAAAGAGTGGTTTCACCCTTTCTGTATTTCACAATATAATTACTCTGGCTTCGCCCCTGCATTTATCGTAAATGTCAGAGATATATTGGTCAGTGGTGTATCCAAAAATGTTAATCAAAAGAGAGGCAAAATCTGCCCCTATTCTGAAGTAACGTTGCACACCTATTATAGATGGGCTCTGAATTGAATTTTGAGTCTGAATGGATTAAGTTATTGTATTATAAGATAATCAATCATATGATCTTTTTACTGTCGTCGTTTTCAAGGTGGAGGGCGTTGCCAACCTCTGACTCCGAATTGCCAAACTCCCTCCAAGCATTATCGTGAATCTTTCTCACGCTATTTTTAAATTCCTAAAATAAGATAAGTGTCTTCTTTGACGAAAAAATCGGACTGATTCTAAGAATGTTCTGTACTTATCTATTTAATATAGGTTTTTCTGGCCAGTTTTGCTCTTTTTTCCAGTCCATTTGATAAAATGGTCTTTCAATTTTAGCTCAAACATCATTTTCAGCGGGCACTGGATTTTGCACTTTTATCATTCAAAATCTCAGTTTAGCACGCGTGCCAATATTCATTCAAAATCGTTGGCAATAGCCGAAAGGTAATCTCGGGCATTCACATGCGCAAATATGAGCAGTAAATTTCGTAAAATTTTCATTGGAAATAACATGGATTTTGTTTTTGTAGGCCCCTACCTGTTGCTTACTTTCAGTCGACCTGAAAATGATATGATTTTAATTAATTTCGTCACGGTGCATAAAACATGCATGTGAATGAGAAACAAGTTATGTTAAATTGTTTGGCAAGTTGCGAATTTTTCGGGGAAAACTTATACATAAAAAAACATATTAAATATAATTTGTCATAAATATAAGAGTAAATTACTTTAATTTTATCGATTTTTGTTATCAGCTTATTGATTTTATATTATCTATACCTTAGGAAGTGCACATATGTGTGTTTGAGAGGGATTTGTACAGACCACTTTCTCAGGGGTGAGGGGGGGGGGGAGTATACACCCCACCCAAGGATTATCGTATGTGGTTTATACTGCAACACTTTACAAAAAGGACAGCTGCTGAAAAAGCAACGCATTTCCCCTTTGTCTTACAGCTTGCCGTAGTAATCCGTGTCGCAATGGAGCGACTTGCCAGAATGTGGGCGATGCTTTTACGTGCTTGTGTGGTCCTGCTTTCGAAGGGTTATTGTGTGAGATTGGTAAGAGTATTTATGTATACAAAGTATTGGTTATCAAAGAAAACTCAAACCTTTAAAATAAAAACTACTCTAAAAAAAAAGCAGAACATATCAGAGAAGCAGACTGATGAAAGTTTGAACGAAATCGGACAAAAGAAATGAAATATGAATTTTCAAAGTTTTTATCACTTTATGTATGGGAACTTCAAATTAGCTTAAACGACAATGTTACTTAATTTGATGTCGTTTTTTCCAACACGCAAAATGACAAAACAACGACAACAAAGTCCTTTATTTTTAGAGGATCTATAATGATTCACTATCCCTAATACATTTATAGTAGTGCCCCAAGGTAGATAGCACTTGGGAGAAAACAGAAATTAGTGATATTTGTTTACACAGCAAACATGATGAGTTGTCCGTGACTGTGTCACAATCCACTGACGAGGTTGCCAATTTGAGATCTCCATAGCTATAGTGATTTCATATTTCAAACATTCATAACTCTCATAATTATTATTAGCCCGATTCGTTTCAAACTTTCGACACTCTGTCTCTCTTATTTTTTTTACAAATAAAATTATTACAATGATTGGATTGCCCTATAAGAACGGATCTAAGATGTCTGATCATGTTGTGTCCCATTCGTTTCGAAATATAATGTGACCCAAAACTTGTTTTTATCGAAATAACCATATAATAGATCGCATTTTTAACGCGCCTAATACATTGTTTCTAGGCGCTGTGGTACTGTTGTCCCAGCAGCCATTAAGTGAAGCAATGTCCTTACACTATCTACATAAAAGCCGGGACGACAGCACCACGATTACACAATATTATTCAGTACAAAATTACAGTATGTTATGCTATGTTACGTTACAAAATTACAGTTTGTTACAGATAAATGAATAAATCAACTTACTCTAACTTAAATTATATACCTAAAGCCATCGATAAATTTGCAGCGTGAACGAAGTGTCTATAAATTTAGCAATTGGTAAAATTTCCTTATTTTGTCGGCAAGATTGAGTCATTTAAAGGATAGTTAACAATGTTCCTTTGTGCTACATTATTAATCTTTCCCAATACCTGCTAGACATTTCTTTCATCACTTGGAGAGAAAAAGAAGCCTTAATCTTTATCTCTAAATCACTGCAAAGTAGTATTAAAATCTCACCGAATGAACTGTTTCCTTCTCATATAGCATTGCACAAGGCCTTCATCTTAACGAACACGTCCTTGTTGATTGGCTACTTTCCAGTGAATGTCCCATTGTTCAATGCTACCTTTCATGAGGTTCATCTGCGATATCGCTCATTTCGAATGAAGGTGGATCCCGCATCCGAAAAGATCTATCTGTTAGCCGCTGAATCGGCAACCAAGAAACCGATAATTTATAGGACGAATTTTGATGGAAGTGAGATGGAGATTATACTTTATGACATTGAAGGGTGGAGAGGTAAGTTTTATAATTATTTTCAACGATTTTCAGTTCTTCCAGTTTGATCACGTATTTCGTTAAATTAAAAAATTATAACTGTCAGTTGTCAATTGAAATTAAGTTTTAATGCATTCAAGGCTTACCTCAGAATGAATTTCAATCTCAGAATGTTCTAACATGTATTTCATATATCATATAGGACTATTTATTACGTAATCAATATATAAGCCTTTATTTTTAAAATCTTATGCAAAAAAGTACAATATTGTGATCTGAGATTGAAAATTTGTTTGAAATCGACGCAATAATGTAGGAGACGAACAATTTAGTTAGGAAACATAAACATATGTATATATATATATATGTGTGTGTACACTGTTGTCAATAAAGTTATTTGTTGTCCTTATTTCTTTTAATGAAATGATTGTGAAAATATGGTTTATTCTTAAAAAGTTTTTATCTTCTCATAACTTTATTTATCAACTTCAATGACTCTTTAAATTGGTCAATAAAGTTCTGATAAGACATGAACTTGTTCTTTTATGAATAAACCATTATATTGTAACAGTCATTTTATAAAAGGAGGTAAGAAATACTTAGCCTTAGTATTCCAACTTTGCGGGTAACAGTGTAATTGGTTATAATGATAAAGTAATGAAACGATATCCATGAAAAATCTGAGTGAGAAAGACAAATGTTTGATCGCAAAATTGTACTCACCGTCATTGCAGATTTAGCAATGGACTTTGAACGACAATACTGGATTGAACGTAACTCGACCTTGCGCATTACGCATTTCAATGGCACTAATCTAGGGGAAGTTGTTATGTCAGGCATGGCCCTGTATTCACTCGATCTAGACAGAAAAACCAGGTAGGACTATAACATATTTCTAAAATCATTTTGTTCTTTTCATTCGCATCATTATTATTTATTAATTTCTTTATTTCATTATGTTTTTAGCAAATAATGCTTTTGATTTTACAGTGTTTTTATTTAACTTTACACTTCAGACCACGATCGCAAAAGCTTTCAAAAATAAACCTGAGACAATATCACTAAGCGAGTTCGTAAATAGCTCTGACCCCAAAAAAGGGACTTTTAGATTTGCAAGAAGACAATGTGGATTGCTACGGTCGACGTCCATTTAATGCACTCTCTTGAATGGACGTCACACGTATCAGTCCACGCAAATCTAAAAGTCCCTAACATCCACAGATCTTAGACACGATGGATAATTCCCACCTGTGCATTTTAGAATAATCACTGCCAAAGTGATGGAGGTGCTTCATGAATACCTTTTGTTTGCCTCTTGAGAAGAATACTTCCACCTGTGTATCAGATAAATGTACTGTTGGTGCATAAATGAATACTGATTACATAACTTTCATGAGCACGATCCGAGAATTCGTCTCAATGGTTTTACAATTTGGGTACGAATGACCTTTATCTGCCCATGCGCAAATCCTAATTACGAACTCGCTGATAGCATGATGCGTTGCCTATTGAAATATGCGAACAGCAATTGCATAATATAACCCGAAAATAATCCAATATAAAGGGTAACCTATTGATTTTGGTCTAGAATTGATTTCTTGATTTTTTAAAATTGTGTTTAGTGTAAATATAGACAAAAGCAAACCGGGCATTCTAACACAATGGGAAATGTTAATATAGGGCATGTGTAATCTATTATTTTAAAATCTAGCACAACAGAATATCACATACATTCACATAGATGGTTTTAAGTGGTTAAGAATGCTTCTGTTCTACTGTTCTTACTGGAAGATAGTAATGACTTAAACTAGGAAAATAAAACATTCGTTTTTTCATTAATAAATGATAGAAATTAAGTGAAAAGATTATGCGATGATTATTAAACAGAGACATCGAGATAGAGAGACAGAGAGAGAGGGAAAGAGAGAGAAAGAGAGAAAGAGAAAGAGCGAATATAGGTATAGAGAGCAAGAGTAAGACAGATAGAGAGAGAGAGAGAGAGAGGGAGATGAGGAAAGAGGAATGGGGATTTAGTGAAAGGAAAGAATTCAAGAATAAACAATACAGGGGGAGTTAAAATAAGGTGGGCATAGTGACGAGGTGTTTAATTTACTTGTTATTAATGACTGAACTACTATACTTGAAGTCCAATCTGCATACCTTACTTGTTGCTACGTCAGGCAAGAATTTGGCAGGCTTTCAGGTTGTCAAGAAGAACATTTCTTTAAACAGTATGGACATAATTTGAATATGACTTGTTAGTAAACCGGTCTCTGGGAAAATAAGATTTATAAAGGCTGTCTTTTTTTTTACTTTTCAGGACAGATTTTACTCTGTCTATACAGTGCGTCCCAGAAAAAACGAAATCGAAAATTATTGATGTTTTATCATAACTTAGTCACATTTAAAATTAATAAATTACACATATTTGGAAAGCTTAGATCCTCCTCTTTTATTTAATGCAACTCATATGATGCATATTTCACGCATTAGTGATAACAATGAATTTGAAGAGAGGCAACCAAAAAGTCATTTGGCGGACGGTATTTGAATTTCAAAGAGAAAATTACATTTCTAGAAATGCATGAAGTCTTTCGCCTGCGGCTGATTGTCAACGAAACGGAGTTAAGTCTTTTGTCAACTCCGTTTGTTGCTACAGCAGGCAGCCGGTGAAAACGAATTCGTGTAATGAAATTATGGAAATGCAAGCACTAATTTAAACAAAGAGAACTTTGTTATTCCTAGCTCATTTTTCCTCACTGAGGTGTCATAATTATGAAAGGGCAGAAACTCAACGTTCTAGAAATGTGATTTTCTCTTTGAAATTCAGATACCGTCTGCCAAATGTCTTTTTGGTTTGCTCTCTTCAAATTGATTTGAATCACTCATGCGTGAAATATGAATTATATGAGTTTCATCAAATGAAAGAGGAGGATCTAAGCTTTACAAATGTATGTCATTTATCAATTAGAACTGTGATTAAGTAAACCTTAAATAATTCTCGGTTTCGTTTTTTTCTGGGACGCACTGTATATCACAAATTCACTTCAATTTTAGTTTTTATTTGTTTCCCCTCACCCTCTCCTTTCTCTCCTTTCTCAACTCTCCTTTCTCTCTCTTTCCATCTTCCCCGTTTCACCTCTCCTATTTCGTATCACCTCGGCCATTACCCCCATCTCTCTCTCTCTCTTTCGTTCAATTTCTCTCCCTATCTTCTCTGTTTCTCCCTCTTGCATTTTCTCTCGGCCATCCCCCCATCTCTCTCCTCACTTTCTATTTGGTCTTTTCTGTCGTCTGTCATCTCACTGTCTTTGTCTCTCCTTCTCTGCTTCCTACACAGGGATATATTCGTTGGTGGTGTCCGTGCTAATGGTACTAAAGGAAGTATACAGAAGAAGAACCTAAACACTGGTACGAGAACTACCCTTATTAGAAGCCTTGTGAAAGCGCCAGTGGGGATTACAGTGGCTCCTAACGGTGAGTCTCTCAAGCCTTACGTTACCCCGTCACATTCCAAGGCAACAGCAATGACAACAACAACAACAATGACAATACTAGTATTACTACTACTACTAATAGCAAAAATAATAATAATAATGATAATAAAGATAATAATAATAATAATTACATTGTAATAATGATGATAATAATTAGAAGAATATAGGAAGAAGAAAAAGGAGAAAAGAAGAAGATAATTATAATGCACATTGTTACCATTATTAAGATAATGACAACAAGGATGATGATAATTGGTATACTTCTTTAGCGTTCACATCCACACTTGCTCTTGCTATATAGGATGCCGTTGCCCGTGCTCACTGAATATAAGAAATTCCTTCTAACCAGTGTCTCCGGTCAAGTGATTAACCACTCGACTAGACGATCGGTACCACTTCTCTGCGATGTTAAAAAAAATCAACTACTTCTCAAAATTATTGTTTCCACAGAATTCCGTATCTACTGGACGTATCAAGGCAGGCGCGGATCCAGGATTTCTTAGGGGAGGGGGCCCAACTTTTTTTTTTTTTTGCTCCCGAAAATTTGAAAATCGCGCCGGCCGAAAAGTCGCTCAATGGGGGGGGGGGGGGGGGGGGGGGTACAGAGCACAATTTTTTTTTTTTTTTTTTTTTTTTTTTTTTTTGCTCCCGAAAATTTGAAAAACGCGCTCAGTGGGGGGGGGGGGGGGGGGGGGGCGGCGGGGGGGGGGGGGGTAGTGAGCACATTTTTTTTTTTTTTTTTATCCTAAAAAAAAATTTCAATTTGCACCCCCCCCCCCTTGAGCGCCAGGGGGGGCCCAACCCCCAAAAAAAGGTAAAAATCACGTGATTTTACATGATTTTTTTCTCAAGGGGGGGGGGGCCCCCCCTGGATCCGCCACTGTATCAAGGGGTCTATGGGATCTCCTACATGGATATCAATAGCGAAGACGATGCAGAGAAGAAAATTGCCATGAACGAATTGAAGGGTTTCCCGCACGCACTAACCAGTTACAACTCCCAGTTGTATTTCCTGGTCGACAACCAATTATTTAAAATCATCGAGGTCGGCCACAACATCGTAGGAGTCAACGTACTAGGCAATAGTTTCGACACTGTGAATTCTCTGCTAGATATGCAAATTTCAAATTGAGGGCAAATCCAAATTATCGTCACATAAATTATGTAACAAATCAAATTAGACATTCGGGTTTGTAATATTTTTTTTAATTTATTTTTTTTTTTTTTTAAATCCCCTTTTACATGGGTTCTTTATTTTCAAAACAATTTTCATCATATACAGAACATCCATATATCATATACAAATAATTAAATAAATAATTTCCATACATAATGGCTTGACACAGATAATAATCATCACGGCAGAAAACTTTTGTGGCAGATAAAAACAAACATTTATGACAAAATTAGTACTTTAAATATACCAACAACAAAAAACCAAACATAAAATACATGATCATGTTTATGTTAGCACATTTCCAACACTCTCAAAATATTTTCTAAAGTGAAACCATTTCTTTTCCAATTTATTCTCTCTGGGATTTGTTTGGTATTCCATTTCATAGTAACGTTTTACAGCTGATAAAATTATATAAAATTATGGTAATTGATTTCGTAATTTAGCTGAAAACATTTCTTGTCTTACAACTATCAGAACACAGTTGAGTGCATTATTATTGCTACAGCAAAATCCAAACATTTTATTTTTATTTGTAAGTTTGATCCTTTCCCCCATATTACGAAATATCCAGAACTCTAACTTCGACCATACTTCATTAGAATAGTTACAAAAGCAAAAAGTATGTATGATAGTTTCATCATTGTTACTACAAAAAGTACACTTCTTGCCAGCCACTACACCAAATCTTAACAAACTGTCCTTCATGTATAATATTCTATTTAAAATCTTGATTTGAAACCACCTCATGTTGATATCTATTGTTGACTGAAATGGAATTCGACAGTACGAACCCCAAAGTACATCTTGAAAATCTAAAAAACTTTTCCACTTTGTAAGGGCTTTACATTCTTTTACTTTGTTTTTTTTTTAGCAAAGACTGATAAATATGTGAACAACTAACATTTGTTTTCAACACAAGGTGCACGGCTTCGGGAATGATAGGTTCTAAGGCCTTACTAGGAGCTACATGTGTAGTCATTTTAAAACCTGACCGAATTGCATTACAAAGACCATAGTACTGGAGGAAATTTGTTTGTATGTCAAATCTCCGCTGAAACTCAAAATATGAACAAAAAGAACCATCTATTGTTTAGGATGTCATTTACAAAACGTATTCCTCGTAAATTCCAAGCCCCCACAAACACCACTTTGTCATTTATTTTAATGTGGGGGTTATTCCAGAGAGGTTGACTTGCAATGTCGTCAATAAGAAGTTCGACCAAGTCTGACCAAGCGAAAAGGACCTCTTTCCAAAATGGATTTGGAGTCAAGTCTGCTAATTTTCTAAAATAATGTGAGCCCATATACAGGTGAAAAAATAGGTCTTGGGCAAGAATGAATTGAACATGTGAAAAGTGAAACTTTCTATCTGAGAATCAGTTACAAATCTTCTAATCCATGATATTTTCAGGGATTTAGCATGAATGTAAATATCAATCATCTTAACCCCACCTTTATTATACAGTTGACACATTTGTTCTCTATTGATTTTATCAGGTTTGTTACCCCATATAAATGCATACAAAGAACGATTTATATCTTTCATAATTTGCAAATTCGGTTCTGGAAGTGAAAGCAATAAATATTTCAATTTTGGCACCAACAAAGATTTGACTACAGTTATTCTTCCGAGGACAATTAAGGTTCGTTTGGACCATGAAATAATTTGGCGTTTTATATCTCTAATTTTTTCAATATAATTATGATTTACCATCTCTACTAAGTTAACCGAAGAATCTATTCCTAAGTATCTCGAATAACCTTCTGATTTAGTTTGTGCTCTGGCATTAGCTGTTTTTTGCGGGCTCTATTTTTCCCAATCCATATCACATGAGTTTTTGTAATATTGATCTTTAGGTTTGACATTTCTTCAAAATCACCCAATATTTTCAGTGAGCTCTGTAAATCTTCTTTTGTACCGTTGAGTGTAAAAAAAAAAGGGTTTATAATATTGGTAACGATGGTTAATTGTGAACACGCCTTATAAACATCAAGTACAACCATAAATCAATAATCATCATAATCATAAAATCATGCCTAAATTTATTTAGTTCTTCATCGTTTATTATTCGTTATGAATGGCCTAATATATGTCCTTTTCACGGGGGTACTTTCCTCAAACAAATGGCGAAATATTAAAATAAATTGAGAAAAGGAGAGATAGGGAAAAGGCGGGAGACAAGCAACATAAAAAGAATACGATGGAATTACAACCCTTGCCACGCCCCACTCACTCTACGACTATGTGTTTCATCATTCATCCATACTTTCCTCAAATCAATATTTATGGTGCCCCTCCCCCTGTCACCAGTGTCCCAGTGCCCCGATGGACGTACATTTTCAGATAATCATAATTGTCCCTGGAAGTTTCTCTTTGGACTAGTACTTCAGCTATGCTTTGGTAAATAGAAGGAAAGTGTTTTTATATAACCTCCACTCATTAATCATTTTCACTCCTCGAAGTAAGATTGGTATTTTTAAAGATAATTCCATACTGTAACGACTCGGTAAATGGAGCACTTCAGCTGTCACATTTGGATAAATTGTTTTAAGTTCTATATCTGAAGGTAGTACAATGCTGTCAGTATTCCTTCACCTTCAAAGTACCCCCTTTTTTAAAAAAACGGAGATACATGTAGTATTAGTAAAAAAAAAAAAAAAAAAATACAATTCAGGTTTCTGAGGCACAGCCTCATATGGCCTTATCTTGACATATAAAGGGCGTTAAAGCCATAGTATGGATATCCAAATGACTAATATACTCTGAAACTCGACACCTATTTGTCTGTCATAGTTGTATCTTAGCACATCTTCGCACGTTTACTGTAAGTTCGCCACATAAAGTCTTTTGCCATATAAGAAAAAAGTAATTTGAAAAAAGAAATAAAAGAGAGGATCGTCTGACTGTACTTTATCACATGGTTTTGTTGTTTTTCATTTCAAGGTTGTGATGAAATTTATACATCGCTGGGTTATCATACATTCTGTATGGATTAAGTCAAACCTCAATGTTTTGTTGAGTAAATGCTAATAAAGATCACGCTGTTAACGCTGGATTAAACTGTGTATCACTTTTTTCGTTATGGAGAATTCAAACGATTTTTTTTTTGTTATTCGCATGTTTTATTGAATCAAGAAAGCAACTCAATATTTACAAATAATTGGAAAGTTATTAGAAATCAAGAGTAACACAATACATAAAATCAGACAACTAAATATCAGAACATCGATCGTAACAAAGTTATAAAAGATAAATATATCAGGAATGCAGGCAGCGAAATAAGAATTTAAAACCTCAATTTTGTTAATGAGTTGCAAATTTGTAATTCTTTTTTGAGACATCAATGTAAGCTTTAAAACATTGTTAATTGGTGAATTTGTTTTGAAATTTGTATATATATATATATAAATAAAATATTTAAGTTGAAGAATCGAATATGTTAGGAATTTATCTTGGGGCGTTACAAAATGTTTTTGGGGAATATCGAAGCATTTATGACTTAATTACTCTTCCCAAATAGGTTTTACAGCTTGACAAATAATTAAAAAAAGATGTATGTTCTCCTGTAGGTTTCAGGAGCAGTTTTACAAAAGGAACAACCGGGAGAGTCATTTGATAGTTGAGTTCCGTTGCAGAGGGCGCTACACAAAATATTTTTTTTGTGAGATAATGAAAAACTGACTGTCAAATTTGAAAAAACATACAATTTAAATGACAAAATCATCATTAATACTTGTACGTGTACCACCACAAATATTAGATAATTTGAACCAGCCATTAAAAGCTGTTGAAAAAAACAAAATAGCGCCTTTTACGTTGCATTTCAGCCAATGCCGATGTTGGCTTTTTTGTTGGCTTTTTCGTGTTGGTTATATTACGCACAAACAGCCGGTCCAGGTATTGTTATTATTAATTAATTAATTAATTAACGGTCACCGTATATTTTTAAAGGGGAGCTGATTTGGTATAATCGTATATTATTGGCTAAATTTCACACATTAATTTTTGGGGTCTAAAATTACCTTCTTAGCAATTTTAGGTTCTTAAATGGCACTAAAAAAAGTCATTGATAAGAATAATTAAGAGCAATAACCATGCACTTTGAAGGCATATTTGCGATCTGAAAACAGAACTCAACTATCCCTTTAATATCATACCAAAACAAAATCATTCGAAGCTATCAAATGATTCTATTTTTCCCCTAAACATGGGGTATTTATTTCATGTTACTTCTACGATGTCTCTAAGCGCTATAGATATTATAATTATAACCTGGTCGTCAAGTTTAGCCTTGCCCACACACAATTAATTATGCACATTCAGACACACGCCAGTTTAGACGCTTACAGTGCAGGCCAAACGACAATGACTTTCGCCCCGATTTACCCATCCCACAAGGTCCCAATTATGGTAGGCCTTCCTTTTATAACACCTAGGTAGAGAGAAGCAATGTAGATGAAATGCCTTGCTTTAAAAATCTGTTTCGTCGTTTTTGTTGACAAATTTAGTACAGCACATACTCAAAATAATCACAGTTATCTACTTCTTGGAAGTCTAAGCTGGACATTGTCCGGTTTGAGTCGTTGAGCTGACATCTTCCCTCATGTGAGAAGACATTCATTGATGAACAGCTAGGAAGCCTGATACAGCTGGCCAAGCAACGGATCAAAGAAGTTGATTGGATGTCTTTGATCACGTGACCGACTAGGCAGTACCCTGTAAGGATGGGATCTTTCTGCATGAGGCCATTGGCACTCATCGGCTGTGCGTTGATCACAGTCGTCTTCGTGGAGATCGGACCTTCCGTTGTGATTGCGGCTGAGGATGTCATCGGCTGTTCCGTTGACGCTACCGGTATATCGGCTATAATACATAGTATATTGTACGAAGCGAAAAAGCGTTACGGGGATATGCACGTTGAAAATCTCAAAAATATTGTTTTCTTCCGAGAAGAAAATAATCATTGATAGCAAAATTACAGTCATTTTTCTTTTCAGATAGAAATGTTGCAACTGTCAGTGTTTTATGCACCCCATTCGTTGTGTACAAAATGAGGGCATGGAGAGAAAATTACAGAGTCTTTTTTTTTGGTCTAAGACTTTGCACATACTTTCATAACCTCATCTTGCTGCTATATATAATGTTTGAGAACAATTTTTGAGGGCTAATTGTCAATCCCCGACAGTTGCTTTACTGGATTGTTTGGTATTACGTCGAAGCATTTTGAAAGAAATTTCGTGCTTTTACAAAACATACTTTACGGTGGTGGCAATGATCATGATCATGATGATGAAAACAAAATGACGATGATACTGATGATGACTTTATAGGCAACGATGAGTGCGTTGATGATTTTGATGACGATGCCGAATGTGATGATGGTGGTAGGCTAAATGATTACGATGGAAATAATGACAAAGATAATAATGAAGTAGAGTGGTGACAATGATGATTTTTTTTCCCCTCATCCTCTTTCGAGGTATTTATTAGCAATAACATATATACATACAATTTTTAAAAAAATCATAGTTTTACAGTAACAATTGATAGAATTTTTTGAACTTCACCTCCTTTTCAAAATGTATAATTACTTACACTTTCCAAATATGATTTCACCATAAACTTAAAATCAACCCATAAAGAATTTGCGTTGCATTTTTTACTTTTTAATATACATTTTATATAGCTTCGATAGACTGTTTATTGTGCTACGTTGCAAATGAGAATGAACATTTCGTAAGTAATATCGTCCAATTCATACCCTATCACTAGAAGTTCTTCATTTATACATTTATTTAAAAGATTTTCCAAAATGTTCGTACGAGTTTACAGTGTAATACAAAAAAAATTGTTTCTGCTTCCTCACAATGTCTACATTTGCTGTCATTAAGAACACACCAATTTTAGCAAATTTGAATTTCAATGTAAAATATTGTTCAGCAATTGAAAATTGAATTGCCTAATCCTACTACCTTTAATTGTACATATTTTGAACGGGGGAAAAAATCGAATTGAAAGAGTATGTTAATGACAAAACATTGACCAAAATGATATATACAGTAGGCTTGCGGGTGCACCATGTGAAAGAGAGAGAGAGAGAGAAATGATTAATATAGTTGGCGGTTCTTCAGAAATCCATGCACTCATTATTGCATGTTTCTTTTTGGTAGTTATAGAACCAAGACTAATATCATCTCCTGTTTTAAGTGTAATTAAATCATCTTCCTTTCTTTTGCAACAAATAGTTTGTTTTTTAGATCTCATCTTACTAAAAAAGTAAACAGGAAAGGATTGTAATTTTTTTTCATATTTCACATCAAATATTAACTGAGAGGGATATATCAAGTTTAGAACACCTGGTTCCTTTCATTTACCGTCTCTAATCACTTGTTTAACTGTCACTGTACCAGCCTGATTCCAATTCGTGTATATCAGCATATGATTATTAAACTATATATTACTATTTTTTTTACTTCGAATAAACCAACATACCCTATCATTGACCAAATGCATGGAAAGTCATGATAGAAACTAGGTAACTTTCAAAGAAATATTATATTCAAAACATAAAGGGATCTCTCCAACTTTAGAGACAATTATGATAATGATGATGAACAAATTCAAAAATATAAAAATGATCTCAATAGTGATGATGAAGATGACGATGGTGAAGTTGAAAATGACAACGATGATGAATATAAAAACCACACTAATAATGACAACGATTTTGATGATTATGAGAGTGATGGTGATAATTATGATGATGCTGATGATGCTGATCATGATGCTAACGATTATGATCATATCAATTCAGACTTACCGTCCTTCTCACAGACGACAGCTATGTGGATGGCGCAATTAACATCACTCCAAGTCCCAGCGAGGAACATCACACAGTCGAACCCAGGATTATCAGCTGGCTTCAATGGGCCCCAAGCTGCGAATGAGAAAGGAGAGGGGTACAGAGAGAGAAAGAGAGAGAGAGAGAGAGAGAGGGCGAGAGAGAGAGAGAGAGAGAGAGAGGGGGGGGAGAGAGGGGGAGGGAGAGAGAAAGGGGGTAAGAGAAAAGAAGTACAGGAGAATACGAGGAAGAAAGAAAAAAGAAGAAAAAAAAGACGGAGGAACACGAAGAGGTATAGGGGTAAGTTAGGGGGAAGAGAGGGAGGGAGAGAAGATGATGGGGGGAGAGAGAGAGAGGGGGAGAGAGAGAAATGAGGAAAGGGGATGAGAGGGGGCTAGAAAGATGATGGTGAAAGAGTGAGGAGTGAGAAAGAGAAAGAGAGACAGAGAGACAGATAGAATTAATATCGTTGATAATAAATATACCCAAGAGTATCCTGTAAATGCAGTTTCACACCTAATTTTGATCAGGGTGCATGTGTAGCCTTTTATCAATCCACTAAGTGCGAAAAATGGAAGCATTCACTAGACAAAAAGTATAACTGTATAACTGTTGTTCCGCTGGCGTAGCCAGTCAAATGTATGATGTTTATATTTTCAGATAATGTTTTTAATGACCTACAAACTGAAATTAAAAATGTAGTTTGAGATTAATTCCCTTTTAAATAACACAGGGGGGGGGGGTGGTTGCACGCCATTACCACCCTATACCAAATAATTATGTCAGTGACTATTTACAGGTAATGAAAGCCGATATTACAAAATCATAATGAACGAAGATGTAGGCCTATAGCCCACTGTTAATGCCCGTTACACACGATTGATGTGTGTCATTTCCTGACGTAAGAGTGCGGCAGTGAGTGGTGCAGTCTCTGACGCATCACGTTTATGAGAGTGATATCGTTGGAATGCAAAATGTAAACAATGATTTTTTTAACCGGCGTATACACGAGGCGTCATTTGCCAGACGTAGAACTGCGTTAGCGACTTACACGCCCTATTACAATAGGGGCTTTTCGTTTTACACGACGAGAGCGTGGACTGCCGTGTGTGCCATTGTGTTAAGGCACTGGGCCGTGCCCAGCAGTGCCTTAAAAGGACGTCACATTACCTTAAAAGGATGTTACACGTGGCGGTCCACGTTCTCGTCATGTAAAACGAAAAGTCCCTATTATCTTAACATCACAGACAAACTGAATGCACAATTAAATTAATGAGCAAACACGTCGTTGAAATACTAGCTTATTGCCTAATACATGCATGAGCAGATAAAGGTCATTGCATACCAAATTGTCAAATACACAGAGACAAAATACTGGAAAACATGCTCATGAAAGTTATGTAATCATTATTCATGTATTCACAAGCAGTACACTCCATGATACACAGGTGGAAGTATTCTTTGAAAGGGGGAAACAAAGGCTATTCATGTAGCACATCCATCGCTGTAGGAGTGATTATTTAAAAATGTACACAGTGGGGCCATAGGAGTGATTATTTAAAAATGTACACAGTGGGGCCATTCGATGTCTTTAACATTTGTGGATATTTGGGATCATTTGGGACATGTGCCAACCGTAAAAAATGGTCTATTGCCCCCAAAGGCTTCATTAGCGCAGGCAGAACGATGCAATCAAAAATTAATTAGGGCCCGTTTGCCGAAAGCATTTCTGAATTGTGTCATACCTGTGTAAGTTATTGGATGATTATCATCTCCACACACGTACTCTCCATTAACGAGATGGTCTCTGCAATAAAGCCATATGTACCATCCATTTGAGATGCTATTGACGTGAGAGTTCTCCTCTGCGGACGCGATCTCGACTATCGAAGCTCCTTGGCCTTGACATGTTGAAAACGCCGTGTCCCAATCCAGGTTGCCGCCCTGTACGTTATAGCAACTGGACGAAAATTCACTCCATCCTCCTGGACACTCGGCTACATTGATAGAATAGAGAGAAGGAAGAAGGGAGAGATAGAGCGAGAGAGAGAGGGAGAGAGATTACTGAGGGGGATGAAAACGAACTAACCGTGTACATAATACACCAACTGACTGCACTGCACAAGAGCACCTTGCCAGACATTTCAACTTTGACGTTATATCCTGATTGATGGATCCTGTCAAGTACCGACGTAGAAGTAGAAGTAGTATAACAATAACTAAACTCGATATTTGAAAGTAGTATGATTGCATGGAGGGAACTTAGAATGCTCCTTGAAAAATGAAAAAGACAAATGCATAAATAAATAAGGGGAAAAGGGCCCATTAATGATAATGCGATTAAATGAAACACATACAATTTTATCTTAAAGAGATATCGACTGCTACGAGAGGACTGGCTGCTTTTATACGCTCAAGGGGAAAGTTACATCCGCTGCTATCATCCCGAGGTGCAGCTGGGTGGGCGGCGCGCCGAGGGGTGATCGCAGCGGATGCAACTTTCCCCGAGAGCCAGTATAGAAACAGCCAGTCCTCGAACATTAAAGCAGTCGATATTTCTTTTATATACCGAATTGACACAAAAATCTACCAATAATTTTATCGAGTAAAGATTGGTTAAAACATCTCGGAAAATCTGAGAAACTGTCTGTTTATCTTTGCCAGAAAAAAGACTGAAATTTTCGATCAGTTGGGAATCGCAGACAAAGAGCACGTACTGTATGGTGTCCGCGCTCGCTTCAAGAACATATCAACACGTAAACCAATGGGTATCGCAGCAAAATTTTATTCTTTTCCCGGCCGGTAACCGTAATTTTGAGGGTCTCACTCTTGGACTATTAATCGGTTTTGTCATTTTTCGTTTCTTTACGGGAATGGCTAAAATCCCGACTCCAATTTCGACCAATCAGATGGCTGGATTTCTTAAGTGATGTATATAAGTCTGAATAGTGACTATTATTTGGGGGATATCATAGTAGAGTGTAGCTATAGGTCTATAGAATAACGAATAGATAGAGCTACAATGAGCAAGAGAGATGTGATCATCGATATCATATGCGATGATGAATTTTTTTGTTAGCATTTTTGTATTGTATTCGTTCAGTACAAAATATATTTAAACAAAACATACAGCTTCATTGATTTACATAACATATCAAATATAAAGAAAATTGTACATCCCTCAAAAAACATTTAATATAGTTTAATACACAGTACATAATGTTTTCAAATGAATTATACTAAATGAATATTATTTTTTTCTCTCATCCTCAAGCGATGTGTTTAAGTGCCCCTCTCCCCTGCTAATTCCTTTTCTTCTTGCCTATTTACTATAATTCTTTTTTAATCTCTTGAGGAATTTGGGGTCTATCTTTAGTTGAACTATATTTAAAAATCATATGTTTAGTTAAAAGAATAATGTGATTTAACAGTTGTTCTTCTCCCATATTTGATCTTTTTGTCCCGATTTGAATTTCTTGCCAGTGTAGATTTTTTTTCACGCTAATAAAGCAAAGAGGTCACCGCAGTCCTTACAAATAAGTTAAAGATGAGAACGGAAAATCTTATGCTGCATGCAACTTAGAACGTACATATAATATGGTCGAATTGACACGAGAACAATTTTCTTAAGACCCCGAAAATAGATATATTTTGATGAATCGAAGATAAATGAACGATAGGACGAATTTAACTGTTAGGAAACAATTTTGTCATACTCACACTGTACATGGACGAATCCTATCATGACTTCAAACAGAATCACACCAACGAAAGTGAATTTTGAAGAAGAAAACTTTGCAAAAGTCAACATTATCATAAAATTCTTTATGCTGCTCGGAACGAGTAGATTTTTTTTTATAATGCTCTTCCTCGGTATAAGTCTTTTTTTATTTCTTACTCTTCAACGATGATCTTTCTAAAGTCCTGTTCCGTTACCAACTGATTTGTTTCTTCTTCTGCTATGGTAATTTAAGAGAAAGTTGGCCTGCTTCTTTGATATTGCAATAACCATTTGTTTACAGAAGCAATTACCGAAGGTTTCCTAATGATTATATTAAGCTTGCATGTCTGACGTACATTGTCCATCTGCCGATTGCAAAATTATAAGACGAAAATGAAGAAAGGGAAGAAAGGAGGAGGAGATGAAGTAGAAGAACAAGAGGAACAAGGAGAAGAAGAATAAGAAAAAGAAAAAGTAAAATAAGAAAGAGGAGAAGAAAAAAATAATTAGAGAGAGAGAGAGCAAGAGAGATAGATAGATAGAGAGAGAGAGAGAGAGAGAGTGGGGGGGGGGGGGCTAAAGCTACGCCCGTGGTGTATAACGCAACACTTTCAGATAATAGCATACAAAAGGACAGCTGCTGAAAAAGCAACGGATTTCCCCTTTGTCTTACAGCTTGCCGTAGTAATCCGTGTCGTAATGGAGCAACCTGCCAGAATGTGGGCGATGCTTTTATGTGCGTGTTTGGTCCTGCTTTCGAGGGGTTATTGTGCGAGATTGGGAAGTGTATGTCTTTTATTTCATTTAATTTATTATTCATGATAATATTTTTAATGAAAGAGAAACAAACCTTTAAAAAAAAAAAACTACTCTAAAAGAAGTAGAAACTACCGGAGAAGCAGACTGATGAAAGTTTGAACGAAATCGGACAAAAGATACGAAAGGTATGAATGTCTAAAAGTTGCAATGTATGGGAACTTCAAATTTGCTCACTGTGATGTAGTTGCGGACAAGTTTCCCATTAGTTCCAGCACACAAAATGACCAAAACAAAAAAGATGTCAAAATGTCAAAATGTATGACTCAGGAGCGTCTTTTCTTTTCAGAGGACCTATAATGATTTACTATCCATAATATCTTTTTAATAGTGCCCCAAGGAAGAAAGCACTTCAAGGGAGAAAAACAAAAATTGTTGATATTTTTTACACAACAAACATGGAGAGTTGTCCGTGACTGCGTCATTATCCACTGACAAGATTGCCAATTTGAGATCCCCCAAAGGTAATAGTGCTTTTATATATACAAAATTAATAACTTTATTATTTTTCACTTTCGTCATTCTGTCTCTCGTATTTGTATGATCATGTTGTGTCCCATTCGTTTCGAAATACATGTATCATGTTACCAAACACTAACTTGATCTATTCAAATAACCGTATACGTATACCTAAAGCCTTTAGCAAATGGTAACATTCGATTATAATGATAGCCAGCAAATTTGAATCAGTTTTATCGTTTTAAAATGATTTTAAAAAATGATGGATAAAATGTTCCTTTGTGCAACATTATTAATCTTTCCCAATACCTGCTAGACGTTTTCTTTCAGATTTCATTCTCTTGGGGGTAAAAGAAACCTCATCTTTATCTCTAAATCACTGCTAATTAGTATCAAAGTCTAACCGAATGAACCGTTTCCCTCTCACATAGCATTACACAAAGCCTTCATCTTAACTACCACAATAGACCAGTTCACGGTTAGCACATTACTGCAATGACCCCGAATATCCACAGATCTTAAAAACATGAAGAGGTCCCACTTTTTACATTTTGAAATAATCACTCCTACAGCGATGGAGGTGCTATATAAATAGCATTTGTTTCCCCTTTTCAAAGAATACTTCCACCTGTGTATCATGGATGGCACTGAATGTGCATGAATGAATAATGTTACATAACTTTCATGAACACGTATCCAGTATTTCGTCTCCGTGTATTTCAAAATTTGTTCTGCAATGACCTTTATCTGCTCATGCTCAGACTGCAACCGTGAACTGGCTTATTGGTTGGCTACTTTCCAGTGAATGTCTCATTGTTCAATGCTACCTTTCATAAGGTTCATCTGCGATATCGCTCATTTCGAAGGAAGGTGGATCCAACATCCGAAAAGATCTATCTGTCTTTTAGCTGAATCGGCAACCAAGAAACCGATGATTTGTCGGACAAAATTATATGGAAGTGAGATGGAGATTATGCTGAGTGACATTGAAGGGTCTACAGTCATGTAAGTTAATTGTTTTTAACATTTTTCAGTTCTTTCAGTGCGATAACGTATTTCATTAACAAACAAAAAAACTGCCAAGAAATTAAACTTTCGTGCATTTCCGACTTACCTTAGAATGAATATCAATGTCAGAGTGATCTCACATGTATTTCGGATTGATTGTATGTCAATTAATAACAAGTAGCAATAACCGTTATAAGCTACTAAAATTGTGGCACTTGATTGGCCGAAAGCAAATATGTCATAGAAATTTATAGCATTTGTTATTGATAGCAATTTGTATGAAACAGGCCCCCTGCCAGGGGCCCCTGATGGACGTATATTCATTTGCAGATATATCATAATTGTCCCTGAAAGCTTTCTTTGTACTTTTCTTTGTATTTCAGCAATGCTTCGGGGTAAAGAAGAAAAATTGTTTTGCTGAGGAAAGGCTAATAAAGATCACTCTGTTAAAGATATTATGTTCCTTTTGCAGCCAACATCAAATTCTGTAGAACTTTACAGGAATAATGAATATGTCATGTATGTCCTATCTGTAAAATTTAAACATTAGCAGTGTCCTAGTATTCAAATTTTGCAAGGAAACCCGTTTACTTTCTAGACTTCACTCTCAAGCACTATTGAGTGACTGACTGACATGTTTGTTTATTACATACATAACATGAGCTAACAAGTACATGAGCTTTCGTCTACATCAATAACCCACTACTTGTAATGGCCAGAATTAAACTGATTGAATCTTTGTGCAGCACAAAACATACGACATCGGTAAAAGGGTCTGAAAATCAGACTATTACTTATGTGATTGCAATCACTTAAGTCGACTCCACAACTAATAGTCGTTATTGTCCAACTTAAAGCCATTTTCAAGCCCTTCCGTTTTTAGGGAAGTTCTAAATGAATATTGTCTTTCAAATGCCGTTGTAATTTAACCTTTTCATTGTTTGGCCTGCAAATGAGACATAGTACCTTTAACGCTTCCTTAAAAGGTCTTTCACTTTTTAGAGTTCAAATACATTTTTTTTTTGCATGTTTTATTAAATCAAAACAGAATCACAATATTTACAAATAATTCGAAAGCTATTAGAAATCAAGAGTAACACAATCCATTAAATAAGACAACTGAATATTAGAACGTCAATCATAACATATAGCAGGGATGCAGGTAGCAAAAGAAGAAATGATAATCAAAAACCTCAATTTTGTAAAATAAGTTGCAAGTTTGTTATTCTGTTTTGGTATAAAGTATTCAAGATCTTTAAGGTCAGCAACGTAAGCTTTAAAACCTTTTAAATTGGGAAATTTATTTTGAAATGTGCACATATAAATATAATATTTAAGGAAGAGAAACACAAATATGTTAGGAATTTGTCTTGGGCATAACCAATTTTTTTTTTTTTGAATATCGAAGCCTTTATGACTTAATTATTCTTCTGATAAATAATCTTTAAGCCTATAGTCTTTTCCCAAATAGGTTTTACAACTTGACAACTAATAAAAAGATGTATGTAGGTTTCAAGAATAGTTTTACAAAAGGTACAACCAGGAGAGTCTTTAATCTTAATTTCATTACAAAACAAAATCGTTCGAAGCTATCAAATGATCCAATTTACTCCTAAATACGTGTTATTTCATGTTACATCTACGATGTCTCTAAAGCCCCAGTCCCATATAAAGCCGGACCAGCACGGACGAGCACGGACCACTCCGGACCATCCCGGACCATGGTCTGGGGTGATCCGGGATGGTCCGGGATGTTTTGTTCAAAAAAGTGTGATGCTTTAGCTACAGTCCCATATACGTCCCGGACCGTCCCGGACCATCCCGGACCCCATCCGGGGTGATCCGGGATTCGGTCCGTGTTGACACCGTGTTGGCACCGGGGTGGTCCTGGATGGTCCTGGATGGTCCTGGATGGTCCTGGATGGTCCTGGGCGGTCCGGGAGTCGACCCCGGATGTTTTTGACGGTCAAAAACTGCCGGGGTGGTCCGGGACGGTCCGGGACAATAGTTTGATCCGGGGTGATCCGTGTAGCCACCGTGCTGGGTCCGGGGTCATCCGTAGTGGCGCCGGGGCGGTCCGTGTTGATCCGTGGCAGTCCGGGAGTGAGTTATTGACCGCCCAGGACCATCCAGGACCATCCAGGACCATCCAGGACCACCCCGGTGCCAACACGGTGTCAACACGGACCGAATCCCGGATCATCCCGGATGGGGTCCGGGATGGTCCGGGACGGTCCGGGACGTATATGGGACTGTAGCTTTAAAAGCATCACACTTTTTTGAACAAAACATCCAGGACCATCCCGGATCACCCCAGACCATGGTCCGGGATGGTCCGGAGTGGTCCGTGCTCGTCCGTGCTGGTCCGGCTTTATATGGGACTGGGGCTTTTAAAAGCTACAGTCCCATATACGTCCCGGACCGTCCCGGACCATCCCGGACCCCATCCGGGGTGATCCGGGATTCGGTCCGTGTTGACACCGTGTTGGCACCGGGGTGGTCCTGTATGGTCCTGGATGGTCCTGGATGGTCCTGGGCGGTCAATAACTCACTCCCGGACTGCCACGGATCAACACGGACCGCCCCGGCGCCACTACGGATGACCCCGGACCCAGCACGGTGGCTACACGGATCACCCCGGATCAAACTATTGTCCCGGACTGTCCCGGACCACCCCGGCAGTTTTAAACCGTCAAAAACATCCGGGGTCGACTCCCGGACCGCCCAGGACCATCCAGGACCATCCAGGACCGCCCCGGTGCCAACACGGTGTCAACACGGACCGAATCCCGGATCACCCCGGATGGGGTCCGGGATGGTCCGGGACGGTCCGGGACGTATATGGGACTGTAGCTTAAGCGCTTTAGATATATTACCTGTATTTCTAACCTGGTTGTAAAATTCAGGCTTTGCCCACACACAAAGAATGCTCATTTAGCCACACGCCATTTTAGACGCTTATAGCGCAGACCAAACGACAATGACTTTCGCCCTGATTTCCCCATCCCACATATAAATGGAAGCAGGCGCGGATCCAGGATTTCTTAGGGGGGGGGGGCCCAAATTTGAAATTATGCGAGCCAAATATTGGTACGTTATGGTGACCAACAGTGACGTAATGCGGGGGGGGGGCGAGTTTCCCCCTCCCAGGCTTTGACGTTTCATTATATTATTAGAGAAAGAAGACGATTCGTTGTACCGTTCTCGAAAATAATTCTCGTGTGAATTTAGTTTTTCCCCTCCCGCGCGAAGCGCGGAAAATTTTACGATTTATTAAATTATTAGAGAAAGAAGACGATTCGTTGTAGAGTTCTCGATTATTAATCCTTGTCTAAATTCAGTCCCTCCCTCCCCCCTCCTGCGCGAAGTGCGGAAGCTTTGACGTTTTATTAAACTATTAAAGAAAGAAGACGATTCGTTGTAACGTTCTCGACCCTTTATCTTCGTCTGATTTCAGCAGTTCCTCCCCCCCCCCCCCTCCCGCGCGAAGCGCGAAAGCTTTTACGTTTCATTAAATCATAAGAGAAAGAAAACGATTAGTTGTACAGTTTTCGACTCTTAATCCTTGTCTAAATTCAGTCCCCCTCCCCCTCTTGCGCGAAGCGCGGAAGCTTTGACGTTTTATTAAACTATTAAAGAAAGAAGACGATTCGTTGTACCGTTCTCGACCCTTTATCCTCGTCTGATTTCAGTTCCCCCCCCCCCCTCCCGCGCAAAGCGCGGAAGCTTTTACGTTTCATTAAATCATTAGAGAAAGAAAACGATTCGTTGTACTGTTCTCGACTCTTAATCCTTGTCTAAATTCAGTCCCCACCCCCTCCCCCTCCTGCGCGAAGCGCGGAAACTTTGACGTTTTATTAAACAATTAAAGAAAGAAGACGATTCGTTGTACCGTTCTCGACTCTTAATCCTCGTATGAATTCAGTTCCCCCCCCCCCCCCACCTCCCCTCCTGCGCGAGGCTTTGACGTAGTATTATTAGAGAAAGAAAACGAAGCGTTGTACCGTTCTCTATACCCTTAATCCTTGTCTGAATATCAAATATGTTCTTTGTCTGCTCCTTTTTCTTCCTACGTCCTCTTCCGATTGGGGGGACCGCCCCCCCCCCCCTGGCTACGCGCCTGCGGTCAGATAAACACATCTTGATACCTTGTCCGACCCCGCAAGCTCAGGGGTTTAAGGCGATAAATTACGGACAGATAAGCATTCAGGGGCCCGCCTTAGGGCCCCTGGTGGGGTCGAGGCGGCTCAGGGGTTTTAGGCGTTTAATTAAGGTCAGATGAGCATATTTTTGTGTATACCTTATTATTATGTGACACTGGCAAGTCACTATTTCGCGTGGGGTCCAGGGGCGGAGCCCCAAAAAATCAGGGGTTTTGAGTAATAAATTACCGTCAGATGATCATCTAAGGGTCCGCCGTAGGGCCCTAAATGGAATCCAGGGGGCAAAGCCCCGGAAGCTTAGGGGTTTTAGGCATTTAATCACGGTCAGATGAGCATATTTTGATGCCTCATTATTTTGTTAACACTGGCAGTTAACTATTCTTACTTTCTTGCTCTCATTCTATTTCATTTCTCTTTAAAATACCTTTTCAAGAAAAGTGGGGGGGGGGGGGCTCGAGGCTCTCGATCCCCGCCGTACCTCGGGCCCTGACATGTAGGAATCTCAAGAATCATATTTTTTGCCTGGTTGTAAATTTAGGAATTTGTCATTTTCCAACAAACACATACAAACGTATAATTTACTAAAAAGTGAGGAAAAATTTCGGAAATTATGTCATTTCAGCAGTATTTGTAATCCACCGTTGTGGAATTAGAAATTAACCACGTTTGAATATGATTCCCCCAAGCCCCCCCCCCCCTATCAGTACGCCAGTATCTCCTCTTTTCCCTTTTTCTTTCCCTTTCCTTCCTTCTCTCTTTTTTTTTTGATTGGGGGTGGGGGGTGGGGGGGGGGGTTAACAGCCTGGGAGGCAAGGCCCTTTCGGCCCCCCCCCCCGATCTCCTTCTTCCCCCTTTTCTTTTCTTCTTCCTCTTCTTTCTTTCCCTTTTTCTCCTTTTTCCCTTTCTCCCTTCTTTTCCTTTCTTCTCTCTTTTTTTTTTTTTTTTTTTTTTTTGCGGGGGGGGGGGGGGCCAAGGCCCGCTCGGCCCCCCCCCCTGGATCCGCGCCTGAATGGAAGGCCTTAATTGCTTTTATAACACCTCGGTAGAGAGAAACGATTTCGATGAAATGCCTTGCTTAAAAATCTGCTACGTTGTATTTGTTGACGAATTTAATACAGCACATATTCAAAATAATCACAGTTATCTACTTCCTGAAAGTCTAAACTGGACATTGTCCAGTTTGAGTCGTTGAGCTGACATCTTGCCTAAGAAGAGAAGACATTCATTGATGAACAGCTAGGAAGCCTGATACAGCTGGCCAAGCAACGGATCGAAGAAGATGAGTGGATGTCTTTGATCACGTGACCGACTAGGCAGTACCCTGTAAGGATCGGATCTCTCTGCATGTAGCCATTTGCAGTCCTCGGCTGTGCGTTGATCACAGCCGCCTCCGTGGAGATCGGACCTTCCGTTCTGATTGAGGATGTCATCGGCTGTTCCGTTGACGCTACCGGTATGTCGGCTATAATCATCGTAAAAAGGCAAAGTACATTGCACAAAGTGAAAGGGCGTTGCGGGGACATGCACGTTGAAAATCTCAAAACTTGTTTTAAAACGTAACGAATTAAAATTGAAAAATTGCCTAGAATTAAAATTCATTAATAGCAAAATTACAGCCATTTTTCTTTTCAAATTTAAATGTTGCAACTGGCAAAGTTGTATTCACCCCATTCGTTGTGTACAAAATGGGGGGTTTAATTTTCACTCATAGAGAGAAAACCACAGAGTCCTTCGATCTGAAATTTTGAACATACTTTCGTAACCTCATCTTGCTGCTAAAAATGAATGTTGAGATAAGTTTCTGAGGGCTTAATTATCAATCCCTTACAGTGGCTTTATTGGGACCTCGCTCTCCGCTAAAAAGCAAATGGATTGTGTGGCAAGTTGACAGAAATTTGTGCTTACAAAACGGACATTACGGTGGTGGCAATGATCATGATCCCCGGTCATGATCACGGTGATGAAGAAAATGACGATGATTATACCGATGATGACTACGATTGTAGGCGACGATGAGTATGATGATGATGGTGGAAGGCCAAATGATTAAGATGAAAATAATGACGACGATAATAATGAAGTCGGGGGGTGACGATGATGAAAATGATGATGACAAAAATTGGTTGAAAACATAAAAATGATCTCGATAATGATGATGAAGATGTCGACATTTTAATATAATAATAAATATTTGACGATGATAATGATGATGACAATGATGATGGTGAAGGTGATAATGACGATGATAATTCTGGCCTATACTAATACTGACAACGATTATGGTGATGATTATGAGAGTGATGGTGATAATTATGATGATGCTGATCATGCTAGCTGATCATGATGATGACGATTAATAATGATTTCGACTTACCGTCCTTCTCGCAGACGACAGCTATTGGGGTGGCGCAATTAGCATCACTCCAAGTTCCAGCGAGGAACATCACACAGTCGAAACCAGGATTATCAGCTGGCTTTGAAGGGCCCCAAGCTGTGAATGAAAATCAGAGAGGGGTACAGAGAGAGAGAGAGAGAAAGAGAGAGGGTGGGGAAAATGTATAGGTGGAGGAGGAGAAGAAGACGAAAAAGAAGATGAACAAGAGGGAAAAGACGGAGGAACACGAAGAGGTATAGGGGTAAGTTAGGGGAAAAAGAATGGAGGGAGAGAAGATGATGGGAGAGAGAGAGAGAAATTTAATATCGTTGATAATTATATCCAAGAGTATCCTGTAAATGTAGTTTCACATCTAATTTTGATCAGAGTCCATGTGCAGCCTTTTATCAATCCACTAAAGTGTGGGATAATTTTTAAACCGAAAAATGGAAACATTGAGTAGACAAAAAGTACAACTGCACAACTGTCATTAAACTGTCGTATCCAGAATACTGATAAGCAGGAAGCGGGTAAAACAATACTCAAATTACCTGTTTTTTTATGGGAGGGGGTGTTCAAATCACAAGGGGAGGAGGTCGCACGCTAGCACCACCTTACAGGTAATGAAAGCCAATATTACAAAATCATGAAGAGCGAAGATGTAGGCCTATAACCCACTGTTAATGCCCGTTACACACGATTGATGTGTGTCATTTCCTGACGGAATAGTACGTCAGAGTGTATTGCAGTTTCTGACGCAACACGTTTATGAGAGTGATATCGTTGGAATGCAAAATGCAAACAATGAATTTTTTAACCGGCGTATATACGAGGCGTCATTAAATGACGCCTCGTATTGCCAGACGTAGAACTGCGTTAGCAACTTAATTGCGCTATCAGAACGATACGCCCTATTACATTATCTTAACATCACAGACAAACTGAATGCACAATTGAATTAAAGAGCAAATATTGGCGTATTGGTTAATTGTCTTCAAAGGCTTCATTAGCGCAAGCATAACGATGCAATAAAAAATTAATTACGACCCGTTTGCCGAGTGCATTTCTGAATTGTGTCATACCTGTGTAAGTTATTGGATGATTATCATCTCCACACACGTACTCTCCATTAACGAGATGGTCTCTGCAATAAAGCCATATGTACCATCCATTTGAGATGCTATTGACGTGAGAGTTCTCCTCTGCGGACGTGATCTCGACTATCGAAGCTTCTTGGCTTTGACATGTTGAAAACGCTGTGTCCCAATTCAGGTTGCCGCTCTGTACGTTATAGCAACTGGACGAAAATTCACTCCATCCTCCTGGACACTCGGCTACATTGATAGAAGGAAGAGGGAGGGACAGAGAGAGAGAGAGAGAGAGAGAGAGAGAGGGGGTGTTAATGAGTGGGTGAAAACGAAATAACCGATTATAACAATAATTCAACTCGATATTTGAAAGTATTATGATTGCGTGGAGGGAACTTTCAATGCTCCTTGTAAAATAAAATTGAGAAAAATGAAAAGACAACTGCAGATATAAAAAAAGAAGGGGGGGTGGGAGACCCATTAATGATAAAGCAATGAAATGAAAATACATACAATCAAATCTATCTAAAAAAATGAATATTGGTTGTAGAGTAGCTATAGGCCTATACAATAACGAGTATATAGAACTACAATGAGCAAGAGATAGAGAGAGACATAGAGAGAGAGAGAGGGGGGAGGGTGAGAGGTGGAAAGAGAGAGAGAGAGCGAAAGAGAGAAAAAGTAAGAGGAAAAATATAGGATCATCATTATCATGCGACGATGAATTGAGGATGAATGAACGATGGGACGAATTTATTTGTCAGGAAACAATGTTATACTCACACACTACATGAACGAATCCTATCATGACTTCAAACAGAATCACACAAACCAAAGTGACTTTTGAAGAAGTAAACTGTCGCGGCAAATACTTCGCAAACGTCAACATTATCATAATATTCTTTAAGCTGCTCGGAATGAGTTGATTCTTTTGTAATGCTCTTTTTCAGTATCATTTCTCTCTTTTCAACGATGAGCTTCCTATAGTCCTGTTTCGTTACCAACTCATTTTTCTGCTAAGATGATTTAAGAGAAAATAGGCCTACTTCTTAATATTGCAATAAGCATTTATTTTGTTTACAGAAGCAATTACCGTAGGTTTCATTATGACTTAATTATGTAAACCATGCAAGTATTAAGGCAGGAAAATTCAATAAACGTCCCGCAACAATTTCAGATTTTTCTGTGAAGATAATTTACAAGAAAATAGGCCTACTTCCTAATATTGCAAATTGCAATAACCATTTGTTTACAAAAGCAATTACCGAAGTTTTCATTATGACTTAATTATGTCAACCGTGCAAGTCTAACGTATACATTGTCCATCTAAAACAAACGCATGGCAGGAACATTCAATAAACATTTTCAGACTGATCATCTGAGCTAATAAAAGGGATTGTCAATTAAGTCATTCATACCGAAATAAATGTTTTTAACATGTGATTGTTTGCTTATTAAATGTCTGGTTGTAGCACTATAGCGGGGGGGGAGTGGTGGTGGTGTGCATATACAGCTCCATTAGTGGTAAGAAATGTCTCATTAAGAATTAATGGGCGATTGCAGAGTTAGAAGAAGAAGACAAAAGAGAAGAAGAAGGGAAAAGGAGAAAAGGAGAAAGAGATAGAGCGAGAGGGAGAGAGAGAGAGAGAGAGAGGGGGGGGGGCTAAGGATTAAGTTATGCTTGTGGTGTGTATTGCAACATTTTCAGATATAATAGCATACAAAAGGACAGCTGCTGAAGAAAAAAAATGGATTTTCCCCTTTGTCTTACAGCTTGCCGTAGTAATCCGTGTCGTAATGGAGCAACCTGCCAGAATGTGGGCGATGCTTTCACGTGCTTATGTGGTCCTGCTTTCGAGCGGTTATTGTGCGAGATTGGTATAGGTGTATGTTTTTTTTAATTTCTTTTTGATTATTTAGTCATGCTAGTATTTTTAAATTAAAGAGAAATCCAAACTTAAAAGAAAACTACTCTAAAAGAAGTAGAAATTACAAATGAAGCAGACTGATGAAAGTTTGAACGAAATCGGACGAAAGATAAGAAAGTTATGAATGTTTTTAAGTTGCAATGTATGGCAACTTCAAGTTGGCTGGATCGATAATGTCACTCTGATAAATTGGCTGCGTGAGGGAAGGACCTATAGCAAATGGTAATTTTCTTACAATGATTTTCAGCAAGTTTGAATCAGTTTTATCATTTTTAATTGATTTAAAAAAATGACAGTTAAAATTTTTCCTTTGTGCTACATTGTTAATCTTTCCCAATACCTGCTGGAAAATTTTCTTTCAGATTTCAATCACTTGGGAAAAAAGAAGGCTTAATCTTTATCTTTAAATCACATAGCATTACACAAAGCCTTCATCTTAACGACCACATCCTTGTTGATTGGCTACTTTCCAGTAAATGTCCCATTGTTCAATGCTACCTTTCATGAGGTTCATCTGCGATATCACTCATTTCGAATGAAGGTGGACCCCGCATCCGAAAAGATGTATCTTTTAGCTGAATCGGCAACCAAGAAACCGATGATTTATAGGACGAATTTTCATGGTAGCCAGTGCGATCACGTATTTCATTTTTTAATTTTTTTAAAATTAAAACTGTCAGGTGTCAATTGAAATTAAGTTTCCGCGCGTTTCCGGCTTACCTTAGAATGAATATCCACTTTAGAGTGTTCTAACATGTATTTCGTAGATCATAGGACAATTAATTAGGTAATCAATATGTAAGCTTTTATTTTTTTTAAAAAGTACAATACTGTAATCTGAGATCTGAGATTTGTTAGGAGTCGACGCAATGATGTAGAAGACGAACAATTCAGTTAGGAAAAATTAACATGTGTATGTAACTTTTATATTTTGTATAGTTGATATTTTGTATAGTTAATGTTTTCCCCTTATTATATTTTCATGAAATGATTGTGATAATATGGTTTATTAACATCTTCATGCTAATCCACATATTTACAATTACTTCAAATATTTTGGCAGGAAAGCCAGATAAAAATAATAATTTTTCCAATTTTGGAGTTGAATAATAATTATTGTTGTTGTTGTTGATATAATTATAAGGGAAAGGATTCCAAAGCACAATATGTCAATGGAGTCCTCCGAAAAGAAAAAAAGAGGGCCTAATGTTGGGGAGGGGGGAGCAATGTAGAAACAAAAACTGTTGGGGGCCCTTTGGGGGGGGGGGTAGCTGCGCCTGTCGTCAGCTAGCCACAAAGCCAGGCGCGGTACGCAGGGGGGGGGTGAACCCCCTCCCCTTTGACTTTTTATGTGTGTATTTTGGAGTAAACCCCCCCCCCCTTGCGATTTTTTTTTATAAAAAAAAAAAAATATATATATATATATATATATTTTAAAAAATGGGTGACCCCAAAAACCTAACCTTACCCCCCCCCCCTCCCCCAACGAAACAACGATCGGTCAAATTTTCATTTTTTGCAGAAAAAATAAATAAAATATGTCCTCTTATCCCCCCCCCCCCCCCCCCCGCTTATTCCGCAGCTGCCCGAGTCGTTGCGAAATTTTCGGCGTGACTTTAAAATTTAACCCCCCCCCCCCTTGAAAAAAATCCTGCATACACGCCTGATCAAAGCCATGTCCAATTTTAAAACTACATTCGAGAGTCCCTTATTGCCAGGTTTTAAAATTTTTGTTTACATTTCAGTAATACTTTCTTTATTTTATTCCATCTCTACATTTCCATTCTATCCTTTTCCAGTCTGTACAACATGAATTCAATGATGGGCAGGGTTTTACTTCTCATAATTATGAGAGCCCCCTAAACTTCGCGGGGTGAAACAAAGGGTCTTTCACATTCAATTATATTCAAGCCCAATATGGGCTAACAACTGGCCTGCATACCTGAGCAGATCATTGCTCAACATAGACACACCGCCTTATGGGTATGGTCCGTTATTTTTTGTTTATTAAGTTATCTGTTTTCATTGACAAATTATCAGGAGTATTGGATGCTCTGTTTCAAATACAGTCCATCAAACATAATCATATTCAATACTTTTTCAGTCCGAATGAGAAGGAGAGAGAGAGAGAGAGAGAGAGAGGGGGGGTTGAGAGAGGGGGAGGGGCCACTTGGAGAGGGGGAGGGGTTGAGAGAGAGAGAGAGAGAGAGAGAGAGAGAGAGAGGGGAGAGGGGCGGAGAGAGAGAGGGAGAGGGGGAGAGAGATGGAGAGAGAGAGAGAGAGAGAGAGAGTGAGAGAGAAGTGAGAGATAAGTGAGATATATAGATATATATATATATATATATATAGTGAGGAAGAGAAAGAAGTAAGTTGCACGTGCATTACCATAAAAGATCAACAAACGTAGTTTCATTCCTTACGCATTCTAGTAAATTGTTTAAGAATAAAACAATACTTTTATTATTATCATCCACATATTTTGTGTGTGGAAATATATATAAAATTTAATTTCATTCCTTCATTTCCTACATATCCCTATATTATTTTAGTAGTTTTACTCATTCTTTATGAATTTAGGCGTTTCATACTTATGATCATAATTACTTAAAGCTACCGATAGTTTTCCAGCTAGTCTTTGTCGAATCAACTTTAAGTAATTATGATCATAAGTATGAAACGCCTAAATTCATAAAGAATGAGTAAAACTACTAAAATAATATAGGGATATGTAGGAAATGAAGGAATGAAATTAAATTTTATATATATTTCCACACACAAAATATGTGGATGATAATAATAAAAGGGTAGCGTACTAAGGTGCCAGGGTACCGGTATTGCGGCCTCATGAATAAACATGAGTATATGACGTCACGAACTCGCTACGAACTCGCCACGCCTATTCTACCCCTTACCATTTAGCGGGTATCTATGTTAACGTTGTCGCCTCTATAATCTATTTTCGTTGTACGTACGGCCGTACCTACACCCCGACTATACCTACCTATATACCTACATATACTTACCTACCTACCTACCTACCTATCTACCTACCTACCTACCTACCTATATATATGTCTCATTTTGAAGAACTTCAGTCATTAATTGTTCTCGCTCATATATTAGTAACTAGCACCCCCTCCATTAATTATATTGAGCAATAGAAATATTAACTCCATCACTATCCATCATTTAAACTTGCTCGAACTTCATCCAACCTAGCACCTCCTCTATACAGCCTAGCACCTCCTCCATATTAAGCCTTAGAAATATTAACTCCATCCATCTCCATCATTTAAACTTGTTCG